CTATAGGCGACGGTTACCACTTTCCATCAAGTGGGCAGTCAGCTTGTTTGCCATTCTAAGTTGTATAAGGAGGACTCAGGTGTTATGCCTGTGTACTCTGTAAATTCACTGCCATATCCCACCCTTCACATCGAAATACAGCCATGCAAAACACACTGCTTCACGGTAGAAATACGAATAGGACAGAGGTGCCCAAACAAACGACTGTCATACAGTCTCCCTCTGGTAAAATACATTGAAGATAGCAAAATTTCATAATGTTATACAACTGTGTTGGGATCCGAAATCGTGTTATAAACTCCGTACTAAATGAATTAATAACTATTTAACTATTAACTAAGGAACTAACTGAACGTTATATATGTTTTAAACTTCATTATATTACATGCAAATCATTTAAAACTTGTTACGATATTGATATCGAGGTTGAATACACTGCTTCACATTGCGATGGGTTTTTTATTTTGGGATTTTTAGGAAAGGGATTGTTAGCAATGGAGACTGAGAATCCTATTGCTAGCAATATACCGAACCAGGTCGACCTCCTCGCAGTTCTCCCTGGAAACTATCATGGTCAATTCCTAATGAATTCATCATGATGGGCTAACTAGCCTGTTTTCATTCTCATCTATCACCCTTCACTGGTGCTCCGCCAGCGTGTCCCGTTAGCGCAGGCGGGGTTACCATACCATTTTCACCCATCAAAAAACGGTAGCGCACGGTACGGCAAGGCGCGCTGGGAGGACGATCTGAAAGGGGAATTACTCGGAAGGTTTTAGGGGCCCGCGTTACAATATCATATCAGCTGATCTCATTTTATACTGAAAAACAGCCATGCATCTAATGCTCAGTATTGTTGCTTGCTTCGTTTGTTGCGAAGTAAAATTTTCTTGTTTCACAATTGTGAAATCACCGTGTTCTAAGTTTCAATTCAAATATTTTAAATCTACAAAGACGAAACATTTCAACGTTCGTATGTACATTTTTTCCCAATACAAAACCAAAATATTGAAATTTCATTACTGACTTTGTTACGATAGCAGTTTTTTTTCTATGATCAACGATCGCTATAGCCTATGGATGCCTGCAACATTGGGTGTCACGTGCGCGTTGCCTACCCTGAAGGTACTTTAATACAACCTTTTTGAAGAACCGTTGTTTAATTTGATTGCTTTCATTTTTAGTTATTTTTTCTGAATGGCTTCACTTTAGTGTTTATTTGTATAAACGTAATATATACGCTGTGGTATGTATGTGTATGTATGTATGTATGCGTGTGTATGTGTGTATATATGTATATATGATTATCCATGTGTTTGTAAATTTACCTTTATAGTTGTTAATGTGTAAGTTAAATAACCTTTGTTGTACGAATTATACTGTGTTTACACACACTTGTTTAGCCGCGTGTTTATGTTTTGATCATGCTGTGTACGCATATTTTTGGAGGGTTAGCTTGAAAAAAATATTATTGTACTGTATAAATTAATGTAACATTGTTAATTCTCTGTAATAGGGGGGTAAGAGATTATTAGTAATGGGGACTGAGAATCCCATTGCTAGCAATATATCCAATCAGATCGACCTCTTTGCGGTTCTCCCTGGAAACTATCATGGTTAATTCCTGATGAATTCATCATGACGGGCTAATCGGCCTGTTTTCATTCTCATCTATCACCTTTAACTTGTGCTCCGCTAGCGTATCGCGTTAGCGCAGGCGGGGTTACCATACCATTTTCACCCATCAAAAAAAAATTCTCTGTAATGTGTACATATTGAAATAAAATAAAATAAAATAAAAAAATCTTTTTCTTATTAATGGATTGTTATTAATGCGATCTAACAGCCCCATTGTGAGCATTATATTATCCTGTGCTTCCATGCGGTCCCCATGCATACTATCGTGGTTTCTTGTACAATTCGTCACGATCTGGCCTGCTTCAATCCTCACCAATAGTGCAGGCGGAGAGACCATTCAGTTTCACCGATTAAAAAAAATGTTATTACTGTTAAATATTTAATTTCAACTTTACTTTTAGGGGGAAGGGATTGTTATCAATGGGGAGATTAGTCCCTGTTGATATTTATATATCCTATCAGGTCGACCTCCACGCGATTCCCGTTGGAAACCATCGTGACTAATTTATCGTTGCATACGTCACGATGGGCTAACTGACCTGCCTTTTCATTCTCACCGATCATCAGATCACCGATGCGCCACCAGTGTAAACCGATAGCACAGGCGGAGTTATTATTTCCATTATCATTCATTAAAAAAACAACTTTACTGTTACTTGAAGTAAAACATTTTTTTTTTCTTTCCTCTCTCGACCAATTATAAATAAAACATTCATGATAAAGTGAAACTTGTGTATTACGCATTCGATATGTTTTCGTGTCATAACTACGCGGATGTCTACAAAATATGTCACGCGTGTGACAACACGTCGAAGGTGTTGCGGAGTGTGACGTGACAAGGGCGTGAGCTGTGACGTACTTGCGGATAATCTCTGCGATATTCGGCAGTGGAATTAACGAGAGACGATAGATTGCGTCGTCTAAACATCGATTATTAATTCATAGTTTATTTTTTATACAATTTAGAACGGCAAACAAGCTGACGGCTCACTTGATGGAGAGTGGTAACCGTCGCCTATAGACATGAGCAGTACCGTAGACTTAATAGAGTATACTATTTTGCACATGAAACCTCCCATACGGTCCCATTCCTGTAAATTCACGCCATATCCCACCCTTCAAACCGAAATACAGCCATGTAAACAACTGCTTCACGGTTGAAACACAAATTTGACAGAGGTATCCAAGCAGTCGACTTTTGTACAAAGTCTCCCTCTGGTAAATCTATCATTTTTATTATTAGTATCTACCATTATTAGCTACCAATACAGAACTCTGGTATGTGTATTATTATGTATGTGTATTATGTAATTATTGTTGTTAGTATTGTTGTATTATTAAGTCTCCCTCTGGTAAAATAGCAACCTCATAGTGTCACATAGGTAATAATCGATATAGTTTGGCTTATCGATACAAACTATTTAATCAATTATAGTTATAAAATTGTTTATACTGACTGACTATCAATACACAGATAAAAGTATATATAAGTATGCATCAATTAAGAAAAGATTTTTGAAAATTTCAACTTAAAGAAGAAACACGACATCACATACACGAAGTTGGGGGAAAAACCGCTGGTAAATACGGTTATAATTCATTGCGATATGCAAAACTATCGATTGTTATTGAAATATTAGTTGGATTGAGAAAGGGATTGTTAGTTATGAGGTTTAAATGCCCATTGCTAACAATATACTCCATCAAGTCAACCTCGCGGTTCCCCTGGAAACCATCACGGTTAATTATTAACGAATTAATCAACATGGGCCAAATAACCTGCTTTATCCTCAATTATAATCTTTTATGATCTACCAGTGTGTACCGATAGCGCAGTCGGCGTCACTGTGTTTCGGTTTGAAGGGTGGGATATGGCGTAAATTTACAGGGTACAGAGGAATAACACTTGAGTGCTCAGGAATGGCAATGGATGCGGGGGGGGGGGGGGGGTATTATAGGCGAAACAGTATACTCTGTTATGTCCATGGTACTACTTATGTCTATAGGCGGCGGTTACCGCTTTCCATCAGGTGGGCCGACAGCTCGTTTGCCATTCTAAGTTGTATTAAAAAAAAAACTATTTCATTTGCACCCATTGAAAAAATACTTGACATCTTAATTATATCAACTTGATTTTTTACGCTATACAACCAATATAATCTTAGTAATTGAATATTGATGGATGACAAAACTTCATGTAATAATCAAATAATTATTAATCAATCGATGATGTATAATCTAAATAATCATTAGCTTATCGAATTTGTATATAATTTAATTGATTATATAGTCGACAGTCTATTAAATAATATATTCGTAATAATAGTACTCTTCCATTACTTGCTATCGTTACGAAATTATCAATTATATCGGTCAAGGGATGATATCGTTGTCGATATCATCGAATATTACCGATTATATCGTATTCATACATCGTAGTGTCATCGATTATACAATGAATTGTACAGATTATTTATGGTCCCGATCGATTAATCGGTTATCGATATAATCGATCTCCCACGATTAGACAACACTAGAAAACTATGTGGTATAATAATAGAAATATTATTACTTGGCAAAAGTTGAAAATATAACACGATTTATATATAATGGAGCGAAACACAGAATTAGAAAACAGGTGCGATGCAAATTTTAAACCGGAAAATATGGCGGGCTTAGTGTTGTAGCGGTTTAAAACATTGCCTCAGCTTTCGATAGTTTTGGTTTCGATCCCAGCAAAATACAAATATTTGTCTTTATCAGAGTGTCTGTTTATATTGATCTGAGTGTATCTATGTATGTGTTTGTATCGATGTATTTACAAATCGTATTTGTGTATGGCTGTTAGCAGGGAGTCAGTGGATGCAGGTGGCTTAGGACCGTTCCTAATAGCAGTTTATGGGGGAAGTATATGTTCAGAAGTGGACAGATAACGGGTGATGTGATGTTGATGATGTATGTATGTGTAGTAGTTAATTTTAGTGGTATTCATCATCATCATCATCATCTCAGCCATTATCTGTCCACTGCTGGACGTAGGCTTTCCTTATAATCTGTCATAAGAAATAGTCCTGAGTCACGTGTATATAGTTTAGTGGTATTATTATTTATTTAAATACTCATACTATAAAACAAAATCGTTTTCTACCACAACGTATTTTGGAAAGGAGTTTCTCTGTCATTTATTTACTATATATAAACTAAACACTATATTTTTCCGTCTATATATCTCATCATATAAATTCAAATTAGCTATTTCTAGCAAAAAAATCTTGCTGATCCTTCATACTTATCTTAGTTCGTTAACAGATAACTTCGTATCGGATTTTAAAATAATCAAAAATTAAAAAAAAAAAAATTACCAAGCTCCAATTCGGCTTCGGCATCTTCAGAAATAGTCTCCATGACACGGTCAGAGCATGGCTCGCGGTCGCGCGCGGGCACGTGTCGCGCGCGACCTGCACGACGCGCGCAGTCCGCGCACGCTACGTGCACCAACTTGACGAACTCGTCTACGACTTGGCAAACGCGTCACTAACTCGTCAACTGAACATCAACTTGCGAAACTCGTCACTAACTTCATCAAATAATCACTAACTTGTAAAACTCGTCATCAACTTCACCAACTGATTACCAACTAAAACTTGTCACTGACAGGTAACTAATTGCCAACTTACAAAACTCGTCACATATGTGTAAAACACGGCACTTGAAGTTATTGTTATTTTATATAGATTAACACTTTATTTATATTACTACGGATGTGTCTATTTTTAATTGAACTGGTTATTGCTAAAATTTTTTTGTTTATACTACTGAACACTGTTTTCTTGATTTAGTTTAATTTCAAACATAATATAAAAATAGATATTTCCTTTAAAGCAAACTAAATATTGGCATTAATTTAGAAATCCTAAAAATACTTTTTTTAATATTTTTTCATTATTCTCCACCATTATTTTGATTAGTAGTTTTAAATACGTGAAAATGTAATTTAAATTCGTGTTGGAGTTTCATTTCCTATTAAGTATTACAAAAAAGCTACTGATTTTTAGCATTTCCATAGCTAATATTTTAAGTTTAATTTGTCTAATAGTGTTTTTGACCTTTATATGATAAAAAATAATTTTATATCCAAAAAGTTTTTTATATTTATAAAATTTACATTAAAAATAGTGTTTGCTGTGTGAAAAAATTGTGTTTGAAAATAGCAGTTTGTTTTACAAATAAAAAAACACTGTATCAATTATGCCAAATTAAGCCAATGCTAAAAAATACTCATTATTGATATCCGTCAGTTTAATTATTTGAATGCAAGATTTTGAGGAGGGTGAGAATGGGGAGGAAGGGGGGGAGTAGTAGGAACAGAGACTAATGATTTCATTGCTAGTAATATACCCTGTCAGGTTAATCTTCGCGCGATTCCTCTTGGAAACCAAGTAAAAGATTCCAAGTAAATTTATGACGATAGGCCAACTGATCTGACTTCGTCCTCATCTATCATCTCTCACTGGTATCTAGTCAGCTAATACCGATAACGCAAGGAATGTTACAATACCATTTTCATCCCAAAAAGTATAATAATAATTTTATAATTTTATTTTTATTTTCAGACTACGATTTGGTCTATTTTGTTAGCAACAATTTCTTTACAAACTGTTTTACTAAAAAAGTGTACATTCAACTAAAGCAATTACCTCAGATGTGAGCCAGCTGACTAGATCAACATCTGAGTCCTCAGGAATGGCAACTTATGGGGGGTATCATGGGCGAAACAGTATACTCTGTTATGTCCATGGTACTGCTCATGTCTATAGGCGACGGTTACCACTTTCCATCAGGTGGGCCGTCAGCTTATTTGCCATTCTAAGTTGTATAAAAAAAAACCGAATGAGATGCCTAATTATAGACGAGTTATATTTCTCGCCTATTAAATATGTGAAATTCTATCGCACAACCAATCTTCGAGCGCAACAAGTTGAAATAGTATCTTATAATACAAATATACTTGCATAAATACAAAACGATCGTGACTAGTTAATTTAAAGAAAGGTCAAGTTGAATGGAAAGTCACCAGGTTTCCAATACATCGATATTTTCTAATGAAATACGCATTGACGTAAACAGTTGTACGGAAATGTATTGGGTGCTATTTAACAAATTGACGCTAATCCATTCGTGACAGTAATGATTATGCTGACGAAGTCACGGTCGTTCTCTCGTCTTTGTCAATTTAGATAGTCGTAAACTCCTTTGTATACACCGAATCGTAAGATTTAAATTACAAACATTATTTTTAATTGCTTTTTAAAAGGAGAGTACAGGGCTGGGGACAAAGTCGCGTAAACAACTTGATTTCCTCTGTCTACTGCATAAGAAATTTGGCGTGATGATTTCTCGGGCTTTATAGATATTAGACAGATATTTTGGATTCTATCACGCAGTTAAACTCTAAATAAGGACTTCTTCATAGCTTGCTGGGATCAGGGTGTGTCGAAACGGGATTACTGAAGTGCATTGCCCTGTGAAAAGTTGCAGCGAGATCATTGATGTTATAAAAAACAACATCTTACCAGAAGTCGTTTGCTTGGGTACCTCTGTCTCATTCGTGTTTCTATCATGAAGCAGTTATGTTTGCATGGCAGTGTTTCAGTTTAAAGGATGGGTAATAGCAATTAATTTACAGGATACAGAGAGGCATAACATCTTAATCCTTAGGAATAAGAACACATTAGGAGTATGATGAGTAGAAGAGCATACTCTGTTATGTCTATGGTACTGCTCATATCTACAGGTGATGGTTACCACTATCCATCACGTGGGCCGTCAGCTTGTTTTTAAAAAAAATCTACAGCGTCTTATCATTATTATTACTACAAACCATCTGTCAGTGAAAGGATTGGGAGGGATTGTTAGTATTGGGGGCCAAAAGACCCATTACTAGCAATATCAGATCTATCTCTACGCGGTACCTCCTAGAAAGCATCGTTGGTATTTATTTAATTCCTGATAAAGTTATCACGATGAGCCAATTAATCTTACTTCATATTCATCTATCACTAATTCTCCATTGGAACTTACCGTTTCTTTTGCATTTTATTAAAAAAATTGAAGTAAAATATGAATTTCTGGATCTCCGGAAAGAAACCGCGACATCCTATGTTTTATTATTTTTCTGGATGTTCTCCTTTTTTTTTTTTTTTCATAAGATTGCATTCTCTATTGTACACTGCGTCCCAGGTTCCAATTAAAGGCATTTTCTATGTAGTATTTAAAATTCCTGCATTTAGTTATATTCTCTGGGAAATAACCTCATTCCGTGTACACTGTCGTTTGATAACGGCAATGCAAAATTAATCCGGATGCTATAGATCTATTTATAGTTACATAAACAGACATGAGCTACCAATTTTAAACATGGTAGGAAACTAACGTACCGACACGCTCTTGGCCGATTTATTGTATTTTTAGCACAGGCAACGGCCGAAAACATTTTTTTTTTAATTATAAACGTAAATTACAGTCAATTCTAGCATGGTTCTAGATTAAATTTTAGAATCATTACATTACTTTTCTTAAGTGCTTCTAAATGTTTTGATATTATCCTATCCAATGTTCTTTAGGACAATGTTCATTTTCAAGGGCAGTACATTTTCTTTAAAGACTACTAATGATTTCAACTTTAACCAATAGCATTTCCACATATATACGTATACATACATATTCGTCATACCTTTATCCTATTGGTGTAGGTAGAAACAATAGAATACTAAATGCTCCGATTCAAACGGACCTCTTTGGCTTCCTCTACATTCATTAACCTATTTATACACGTTGGCCCGTTACGGGTACTTTTAATTTGACCCTTCTTCAGCACGTTGCCTATTTGGTTAATATACATCCATCTAACGTGGCTCCTACCGACATCTCCATTCATTTATGTTCGATAAATCTCTTTATTAATTCTTCTTTCATCGATTCTTTGCAAGTAGCAACACTGCAATATCCCTTTTCAACCTCTGCCACTACATCGTCTTTCAGTCCACACTTCTCACTCGTCATATTTTTTTTTCACTCTGTCTTTTATATTTATTTAAATGTATACAAGATTTAAATTCCAACAGGTGCCAGTAATGTACACATTAACATCATCATTCCTTAGAATTGATTTATTGACGATTAAATCACTCAAAATAGTATTATAGTAATAGACTTGTGCTTCGTTCACGAGGTATATTTACTAACAGTCTGACGGTGTTACCATTCTGTGGTGACGTCACAGGGACCGTGCGGAGGCGGTCGCGTCATTGTGGTAAAGTTTATTACAATTACTGAGAATAACCATAAAAATAACTCAGAATAACGGCATCACTTTCGAAGACCTCAACACGACTCACTATTCCACCGTCACTGTATATGCTAACTAGCTTCTCTCGTTTCTTTACTCACATGTGTCAGTATATAAGAATACTCTATGTGTTAAGTTAGGATATAGTCTACCCATGTATCAAATTTCATACAAATCCGTTCGCCTGTTTGAGCTTGACTGAGTCATGAACATCTAATATCTTTACGAACTTTCACACTAAAGTCAAAGCTCATTTAAATAGCATTACACAAAAAACTCTTTTAAACATCATGTTTTTTTTATAATCATGATTTACCAGAGGGAGACATTGTACAAAAGTCGATTGCTTGGGTACCTCTGTTCCATTCGTGTTTCAACCGTGAAGCAGTTGTGTTTGCATGGCTTTGTTTGGGATATGGCGTGAATTATTGGGTACAGAGGAATAACACCTGAGTGCTCAGGAATGGCAACGCATGGGGGTTATCATGGGCGAAACAGTATACTCTGTTATGTCCATAGTACTTATGTAGTAGCTCATGTCTGTAGGCGACGGTTACCACTTTCCATCAGGTGGGCCGTCAGCTTGTTTGCCATTCTAAGTTGTATAAAAAGAAGCTGTAGTCTCAATAAGTCATCTATTAAGAAGAGACTATAAGAAACTCAATTATTTTGTTGATTGTTACAATATTTAACGACCATTCCCATGAAAGATCTATCTATGGGCACAATAAATACCGAGCTCTATTGGTCACTAGCTTAATGCGTTACGTCCCGTGGGCGTTACTAAAAATAGCATGATTATTTTGATACTCAAAAATTCTAATTCTTTTTTCTTAAAATTTTTTTTACCTCTTTTTCATTGATTTTACCCAATACTATAATTGTACTGTCCTAGGCAGTTTTATTAAAGTTTCGCTTCCTTTTCCGTAGGTGTCGTAAGAGACAACTAAGAGAAGCTAATGTTAATGGGGTGGGTAGCAGCATCTCTCTTAACACATCACCAAAGCCTAAATACGGTTGCCAACCCGCTTGCCAAGTATGACAACTACTCGTAAATCCTCCTAGTTAGAGAGAAACGTATGCTCAGCAGTGGATAGTTAACAGTGGTAACGACTATTACAGGATTTTGTCGAGAATTAAATGGTAAGAGGAGACTAAGGGAGGGCGAGGGATGGGCAGTAGCGTTCCTCTTAAAACATGTCAAAAGCCTAACTGCGGTTGCCAATCCGCCTGTCAAGCGAGGTAATTACTTCTAGAAGGAGACTCGTGTTCAACAATGGACAGTTAAAAGCTTATATGATATTTCATTAAAAAAAATTTTTTTTGGACATTTTTTGAAGTTTTTGTGGCACAGAGTATTGGGTAGCATTGTCCGATACAACAATCAATATGTTATCTTTTTTTTTTTTTATGATACTTTGGAACTTGTATTTATCTACACTAATATTATAAAGGGGAAACATTTGTATTTTTGTGTGTATGTATGTTTGTATTGAATAAACTCAAAAACTACTTTGCCGATTTCAAAAATTCTTCCACCATTAGAAAGCTACGTTCATACTGAGTAACATAGGTTATATATTTATTGCTAGAAAAGATTATAGATTCTTACTAGAACTTTAGTAACGTAACTCAAGGTGTAAAAAATGCTATAAAACATCTTTAGTCGCGTGCGTTGTGAAAACTTTTGGTGATAGAACAAAAGTATGTTCTACAATATTGAAGAAAATATCAATAACTACAAAAAACTTCACGACACTATATGTCCAACTATTATCGTTATGTCACAATAAGAACTTTTTAAAGTGTTGTAAAAATGTCCACCCGTGCGAAGCCAGGACGGGCCGCTAGTTGTTGGAATAAATTGTTTAATACGTAGGCATATTACATTACATAATACAGACATTATCCTTAACACAGCGTCGTCAGAATCATTGAGCGTGTCGGACAGTCATGATTGGGGTCAATTGACTCGGCCAGCGTGACTGCGGTGGATTCATAGGCAGTTAAGCCGATTGAGATCCAGAATGGTAATATATTAACAATAGTACCTACATCTGTATCTATGTTCTCGTCGATATGTCTATTATTATTATGTAAATTTATTGGTAAAATTTAATTTGAAATTTAATTTTGATTGATACTTTATTTGACATATCGTCATAGTCGTAGAATACTGACGGATCTGACGAATATTACATATAAAGATCCGTCGGTATTCTACGACTGTGACGATATATGTAAAAAGAAACATTTAGTGCAAATAAATGATTTAATTTGACATTTAAATCTTTTTATACATTTTAAAATAACTTTGTTGATTACTAGTTATTATGTATTAATTTGTGTAAATATTAAGTGGTGATTTTTCTAATGTTATTATTAAGATTATATGTAAATGTTATAATAAATATTTGCATGTCATTTAATGTGGTAAAACATAATGGACGTCACCACAAAATGGCTTATCGACAATATTTCTAGCAACAAATTTCATTTAATTTAATTTCGTTTCGTTTTATTTTATTTCATTTCTACATACAGCGGTCGCCACTCAAGAACCTTTCTTCCCCATCGGTTGTCGGTTCTACGAGCTATATGACCAGCCCATTGCCACTTCAGTTTACTTATCCTTCGGGCTATGTCGGTTACTTTGGTTCTTTTGCGGATATCCTCGTTTCGGATTCTATCACGCAAAGAGACTCCGAGCATAACCCTCTCCATAGTTGTGAGGAAAGGGATTGTTGGCAATGGAGTTTGACAGCCCCATTGCTAGCAACATACCCTATTAGATCGACCTCCACGTGGTTCCCCCTGGAAACCGTCGTGGACAATTCTTGTTGAATTCGTCACGATGGGCTGACTGACCTGCTTCATCCTCACCTATCATCCTTCACTGGTGCCCCGTCGGTGTATACCGATAGTGCGGGTGGGGTTACCATTATATTATCACACACAAAAAAAAATCCCTCTCCATAGCTGGCTGAGTGACTTGTAGCTTTTGCATACGGGCAATCGTGTAGGACCATGTTTCGGTTCCATAAGTCGTCACTGGTAACACGCACTTGAACAAAGACTTTCGTCTTCAAATTCTGAGGTAACTTACTGTCTTAAAATACTCTATATGATCGAAAATATTTTATATCGTGTTTCAACCGTGAAGCAGTTGTGTTTGCATGGCTGTGTTTCGGTTTGAAGGGTGAGATATGGCAGTGAATTTACAGGGTACAGAGGAATAACACCTGAGTCCTGAGGAATGGCAACGCATAGGGGGTATCATGCGCGAAACAGTATACTTTGTTACGTCCACGGCACTGCTCATGTCTATAGGCGACGGTTATCACTTTCCATCAGGTGGGCCGTCAGCTTGTTTGCCTTTCTATGTTGTATAAAAAAAATGAATAATTCGTATTACTAGATCGACATAAGCAAAGATTATGCGCTGCGTTTGTAATATATCTACGTATTTGGTAAACAATTTATTTAAATGAATAAGGATAACAATTAAATAAATTAATATTACCACAGGATAAATAATATTATTTTTATGTCTATATCTGTTTATTTAATAAGCTACATTAAAATACATTCCAGTTATTAATAGCCATTCAAATTTTTAACTGACTATTTACTTTATAGGTATTAGTGATAGGATGCTTTGTAATTATTAAATTTCATCAAAATATTTGATTACAGTTCATTTAATATGTAATTTTTTTTATACAACATAGAATGGCAAACAAGCTGACGGCCCACCTGATGGAAAGTGGTAACCGTTGCCTATAGACATGAGCAGTAGCATGGACATAACAGAGTATACTGTTTCGCCCATGATACCCCCCATGCGTTGCCATTGCTGAGGACTCAGGTGTTATTCTTCCGTACCCAGTAAATTCACGCCATATCCCACCCTTCAAACCGAAACACAGCCATGCAAACACAACTGCTTTACGGTTGAAACACGAATGGGACAGAGGTACCCAAGCAATCAATTTTTGTACAAAGTCTCCCTCTGTTGTAAATTAATAGTGTTGTTACATTTTATATTTTTATTTTCAATTTCTCTGTTTAATTACCATCATCATATCAGCCTTTAACTGTCTACTGCTGAACATAAGTCTCCCCCTTTGGAGTGGGCAGCAGTTGCCACGCTTGGCAAGCCGATTGGCAACTGCCGTTAGGCTTTGGAGATGTTTTAAGAGGAATGCTGCTGCCCACCCCTCGATCACCAAGTTCCCATAGTCGACTCTTACGACACCCACGGGAAAGGTAGGGTTGGCCTATTCTATGCCGCGAACATATGGCTAGTTCTCTGTATATAATGTTAGTTTTATTGTATTTTATACGTAAATCTGTCTCGTACTACGATTTTATATGGATCAATTAGTAACCGAAATAAATAGATATTTATTACTAATAATTAAATATTTTTGTTGTTTTAATCCTATTGAGACTCTTTAAAATATCTCAATTGGCCCAATGATATTAATTCTGACAATTATAATAAATTACAGAATTATTACAATGAAATTGTTGCTAAAAAACCAACCAGTTTTGTGGATTACCGTAGAAATTTGGTAAATTAATTATTTGTCAAATATAATATAAAATTTTCACGGTTCTATTTTATTAGAGAGATTCAAAGTTTTCTTAAATTTATTTTGAATAGAGGCAATCCAATTATTTTATTGGATTCTACTAACCCTCGCTAACTTTAAAACTGCGAAAATGAATTACCTACTGTCGTCTTAACGGCTTAACCAACCATTACGAAAATTGGCATACATACATACATACAAATAATATTTGATTTCAAATTCTTTAATATAGAATACTTATTATCTTCTTTCTTCTATTTTTTGTCTAACGAAATCGGGAGCATCGCCAGTATTATAAATATGAGCATTTTAGAGGTTATTTGTTAGTTTGAATGTTTGAACGAATTTCAATAAAAGCACATACAGATAAACTATATCTGTGATTAAAAAAATTCGATGCTTTGAGCCCAAGTCATGCGGACATAGTCAGAGAATTCTTTTTTTTTTATATATACAACTTAGAATGGCAAACAAGCTGACGGCCCACCTAATAGAAAGTGGTAACCGTCGCCTATAGACATGAGCAGTACCATGGACATGACAGAGTATACTGTTTCGCCCATGATACCCCCCATGCGTTGCCATTCCTGAGGACTCAGGTCTTATTCCTCTATACCCAGTAAATTCACGCCATATCCCACCCTTCAAACCGAAACACAGCCATGCAAACACAACTGCTTCACGGTTGAAACACGAATGGGACAGAGGTACCCAAGCAATCGACTTTTATACAAAGTCTCCCTCTGGTAATTCGGCTTGTCAATCACTTGAATTTAAAAAAAAAGAAACAATTGGAATTGATAGCATTTTTTTTTTGTATATTACCTAAGCAATATCTTCGATCGAATTTAATAACTTCTTTAAGGATTACTTGTATTTTTTATCTAATTTTGTTAAAGTAAATATATTTTTTTCTAAAAGATATAAGAATATCACCTACAATAACCATGTGTGATTATGCGTAAAGTAAATATTTTTATCTGTCTGTCTATTGAGCAAGTATTATTTTTCAAATTGGCCTCCGATCCGAACGATCAAGGTTTGAAAAATAAGAAATGTTAACTATCTGTAATATCTATTGCCAATAATAATACGGATTCGGAATCAGATCCAATTTTTATACCAAATTATAAACAATTCTATTTACAAACACTAACAATTTTTTTTTATATCAAAATGACAAGTTCTGTTGATGAAAATTAACCACAGAACTATAATTTATACACACTCTCACTAAATTGACTTATTCCCGACATTAACGTAACATTATCACAAAATTCCTTGGCCTTATTAAAAAAAATAACAATTTAAAAAATCCTTCGCGAATCCGTTGTACGGAAAAGCGCGGGAAATCGTCACGAACACCCGTCGACTCGGATGTCCATCGCGGCACTGAAATGAAAACCCAAAACACGTGGCGTAGTATAAAGTTGGCTTAATTCTGAAACGGTTTACCACTGAGAACGAGTTCATATCAAACTGAACTTTATTACAAAACAACATAGAACATAATGTATATTTAACAGGGCGTGTAATGTGAAAACAATATAACGTAAACAGAGTCAAAGAATTTCTGATCTTAACAACGTGCAGAAAGGTTGTTAATTGAGTAATCAAGTGTTCGAACATTTTTCAAATATGGAAAACTGGTGCGTGGAAATATAGACGTTCGGCGGTTCCGTCCTCATTATCGCGAGCTTTCGAATGCAAAACACATATTGCATCTTTGGGTTACCACTTCAGTGAGCACATTAATCCAATATAAACTCGAAAGCTCGGAGATAAGATTCAAATTTGTTTACAAGTTAAGAGAGATAAATGTTTGAAAGATTCCAAAAATTTTCCTTGTAATTCATAAAGCGTATTTGTATTTAGGTAATAATTTGAGGAAACGTTTGTCTGATGAGTATCCAGATTTTTTTGTCACGTATTGTGCCCAGGTTACTTAAAGAAATTGGAAAATCTATTTGAAAGCGAGCAAAATAGCGTTGAAAGGAAAGAAATAGAAAGCATTCTGTATTCAAAAAATATAAGATGAAATACAAATTGTTAGCATCCTTTGAAGAAAAGTTCACAATTCTTTTATAAAGAAGCTGTGAAAGTACTTCATCATCATCATCATCACCTTTGATTATATTGGTATTACAATGTATTATTTTACATATATGTATCTATGTTTTTATAATATATGTTTGTGTACCTATATAATTAATATTTGTAATGTTTGTCATGTAAGTATATTTATTTAATCAGAATGTGTAGTAGTCCATTGTATATATATAATAATTTATGAGTCATTATTTGTCAGTTAATATAAATACGTATGTAACTACATACAACAATTTTTAATTACAGTCACCGCAAAATTACGTTTTTTTTTTATACAACTTAGAATGGCAAACAAGCTGATGGTCCACTTGATGGAAAGTGGCAACCGTCGCCTATAGACATGAGCAGTACCATGGACATATACTGTTTCGCCCATGATACCCCCCGTGCGTTGGCATTCCTGAGGACTCAGGTGTTATTCCTCTGTGTATTCCTCCCAGTAAATTCACGCCATATCCCACCCTTCAAATCGAAACACAGCCATGCAAACACAACTGCTTCACGGTAGAAACACGAATGGGACAGAGGTACCCAAGCAATCGACTTTTGTACAAAGTCTCCCTCTGGGTACATCGCTGTTTTGTCAAGATTGACTGAGAGAGAAAGCTATATAGCATTTTTTTAATGGGTGAAAATGGCATGGCAACTCCGCCTGCGATATCGGTATAAGCTGGCGGAGCACCAATGATATGGCCCATCCTGACGAATTCCACTTGAATTATTTTTTATACAACTTAGAATGGCAAACAAGCTGACGGCCCACCTGATGGAAAGTGGCAACCGTCGCCTATAGACATGAGCAGTACCATGGACACAACAGAGTATACTGTTTCGCCCATGATACCACCCATGCGTTGCCATTCCTGAGGACTCAGATGTTATTCCTCTGTACCCAGTAAATTCACGCCATATCCCACCCTTCAAACTGAAACACAGCCATGCAAATACAACCGCTTTACGGTTGAAACACGAATAAAAATGTACCTCTGGTACCAAAGCAATCGACTTTTGTACAAAGTCTCCCTCTGGTAAGACTACGTTCAGATTCCTGGCCAAAACACATTCCGAATTTCCATCGCGTAGTTTGTTTTCCGCGTGGCTATGCCCCGTGTTCAGATAATAAATTGTTTTCGCGCATTTTATCAGCTATTACAGAGAGGAGGAGTTTGTTAATTCGCCTCTATTGTTTTGTATGTGAAACTTCTACTTTATTCAACGCTAGCTTTTAGGCAAGTCAAGTCAATTATTTATTTTCACAAACACAGGTTACATACATTACATGGTATTTATTATATACAAAATTAAGAAATAAAATACAATGTATGCAGATAGAATGACTGCCTGTTTTTTTTTTAAATAATGATATTATTTTCGCATGAAAAGGTTTGCTGGAAGAAATCTCTTATTAGAGATAACCTCGCCTTTGTACGTTACGTTTAAAATTAATTGTGCTTAACATTATTTTTTGTGTACAATCTATACTTATAATAAATCTGTAGAGAGGTCAATTCTGTACATGAAATATATTTCCAAAATAACTATCAGCGGGTGATTAGTGATCGATACTGATGACAAAAATGCAATCAGTAAAATTTTTGTCTGTCTCTCTGTATGTTCGTTATAGAAACAAAAACTACTCAACGGATTTTAACGAAACTTGGACAATTATTCTTCATACTCCTGGGCAGGTTATAGTGTTCTTTTTATCACGATACGATCAATAAGAGCAGAGCAATGAAGGGAAATGTTGGGAAAACAGGAGAAGTTACTCCATTTTTAAGCTTCCGTCGCGTGTGCAGCCTTAATGGCCACCCGTGCGACGCCGGGACGGGCCGCTAGTTTAATAATATTAGTACATATAAAACATCTCACATGACACTGTATTATGGTAAATATGTATATTTATTTACCAATATATTTATCATTATTTATGTAAATCCTTTGATTATTTCAATAGGAAATAAAGTATTATTCTAATCGTATTGTATATATCATTAATCGCGATTAATTTTATCATAATTTCCTGTAGGTGTTTAAAATAATACGGAAGTACGTTATAAGACAGTAAATATCTTATATATATATATATATATATATATATATATATATCTTTATAGGTAATCTTCGTCAGATCCGTCAGTATTCTACGACTATGACGATATGCCTCATAAGGTCGACCTGCACGTGGTCCCCCTTGGAAACCATAGTGCTGAATTCCAGGTGTATTCATCACGGCTAACTTTCATCGTCATCTATCATCCCTCACTGGTGCCTCGCCAGTGTATACCGATAGCGCAGGCGATATATATATATATATATATATATATATATATATATATATATATATATATATATATATATATATATATATATATATATATATAACACTTAAATTGTTTAATTGTCATTGTATATTTTTATTTTTCTGGTGCAATAAAGAATTAAATAAATAAATAATGAATCTATTTATCTAATAATGGAGTTAAAGATGTCTTAATACATTATCTAATATTATTTTTATTATTGGAATTTCCGTTCGCAATTATATCCATTTATCATTTGTTACTGATCATCGAATAAAGATAATGTTGTCTCTTTCTACACACGATATTTCTTATCCTTATCAATACTATAAATGTCAATATTGTATGTCCGTTTATCCGTTTTTAATGTGTTTGTATAGTCCGTGTAGCCTAACTCCAGGCTGTACCAAGTTTCGTTAAAATCCGTCGAGTAGTTTTTGTTTCTATAACGAACATAAAGACAGACAGACAAAAATTTTACTGATTGCATTTTTGGCATCAGTATCGATCACTAATCACCCGCTGATAGTTGTTTTGGAAATATATTTCATGTACAGAATTGACCTCTCTACAGATTTATTATAAGTATAGATTTTAATTGTCAAAGATTTCTTTTTTATATAATTTTTCTTCAATATACAGCCAGAAGTCTTAATTTTCCAAATTTTTTTTTTATTCGAATTTATTATCAAATTTTTTTAATAGTTATACAGGTATTATTTCCAAATAATGTGTTTTTCTGAAAAAATTAAAGGTTTTATTAACTTCTGAGCATTATTATTGACAATGTTGCTGTAGTTTTCAATAGTATTTGTTTATTTTAGTATTTTTTTTATACAGCTTAGAATGGCAGACAAGCTGACGGCCCACCTGATTGAAAGTGGTAAACGTCGCCTATAGACACGAGCAGTACATGGACATAACAGAGTATACTATTTCGCCCATGATACCCCCCATGCATTGCCATTCCTGAGGACTTAGGTGTTATTCCTCTGTTCCCAGTAAATTTACGCCATATCTCACCCTTCAAACTGAAACACAGCCATGCAAATACAACCGCTTTACGGTTGAAACACGAATAAAAATGTACCTCTGGTACCCAAACAATCGACTTTTGTACAAAGTCTCCCTCTGGTAAGACTACGATCGGATTCCTGGCCAAAACACATTCCGAATTTCCATCGCGTAGTTTGTTTTCCGCGTGGCTATGCCCCGTGTTCAGATAATAAATTGTTTTCGCTCATTTTATCAGCTATTGCAGAGAGGAGGAGTTTGTTAATTCGCCTCTATTGTTTTGTGTGTGAAACTTCTACTTTATTCAACGCTAGCTTTTAGGCAAGTCAAGTCAATTATTTATTTTCACAAACACAGGTTACATACATTACATGGTATTTATTATATACAAGATTAAGAAATATAACACAATGTATGCAGATCGTAGGACTGTATGTTATTATTTTTTAAAATAATATCCAGGTTACAATGAAAAGGTTTGCTGGAAGAAATCTCTCATTAGAGACTAGCGGCCCGTCCCGGAGTCGCACGGGTGGACATTTTTAAATTTAAAAAAGCGGCCATTAAGGCTGCACACGCGACGGAAGCTTAAAAATGGAGTAACTTCTCCCGCTTTCCCAACATTTCCCTTTACTGCTCTGCTCCTATTGATCGTAGCGTGATGAAAAGTATACTATAACCTGCCCAGGAGTATGAAGAATAATTGTACCATGTTTCGTTAAAATCCGTCGAGTAGTTTTGTGTCTATAACGAACATACAGACAGACAGACAAAAATTTTAGTGATTGCATTTTTGGCATCAGTATCGATCACTAAACACCCCCTGATAGTTATTTTGGAAATATATTTCATGTACAGAATTGACCTCTCTACAGATTTATTATAAGTATAAATAAGCTCGCCTTTCGTACGTTACGTTTAAAATTAATTGTGCTTAACATTATGTTTTGTGTACAATAAAGAATAAAATCGCTATGTTTCGCCATTATTGGGCATACAAACTGCCAACTGAAGGGAATAGTTCACCAACCAGGATAAAATGTAACCTATAAAGATCTATTTGAAGGGGGTACCGAATGGGCTGTGCCTTAGAATTGTTAGACACACTTTCCTATGTTTGACTGGGAGAGAAAGCTTTTAGCATAAAGTCTGCCATTTACACATACTTGTACTAATAAATAAGTAAATTAAAAAAAAAAAAAAAAAACTACACACATTTATAAGCCTCCCCCACGGACTGCCATAAAGAACGGTCCTGAGCCACCTGCATCCACTGACTCCATGCAATACATTTGAGGTCGTCACTCATTACAGGTCCTACACTGCGTTAACCTATAAATTTCATCATGAATGATGATGATTTAATA